ATTCGAGATCTGCAGCTCACACTTGCCGCATTTCCACGGCACGTCTGCTGCCTTCAGTGCCCGCACTGCACCTCGGCCAGCACCCCGCAATCCCGGAGTTTCCACCCCCCAGATCTGTCCTATTTAGAAAACTACATCTCTAACAAACTACATTAAAGCTAATCGTATCTCCAGGAGCCTAACGCAAAAATGAAGAGAACAGGGGAAACGAAGCCATTACGGTAAAAACATGCAGATTTCATTAATGCTTCAGATGCGTGTGAGCCTGGCGGAGCCCAGCGCCAGCAGAGCCCCGCCAGAGGCGCTGCGAGGGGAGCAGGGCCCTCCGCAGCCTTTGTCTTTCCACGCAGCTACAGGTGGTTCCAGTTAGCTGCTGTAATTAGATTAGCCATGCAGCACGGTCGCTCTACGATTTCAGACTAATCTGCTGAGCCATCTCCCCACCACCGCCCGTCTCCAGCACTACAAACCCCAGCTCTGCACAGCCCTGCGCTGCTGGGGGCACGGCGCTGCACACAGCGGTTCCTGCAGCCTGCCAGCCCCAATCCTGCCCTTTGCAGGCAGGCTGCTGGGCTGGGTTGGGATTCCCCCCCCCCCTCCGACTCAGCAACAAAACACGGACAACTGGCTATACTTGCTAATAATGTCAAAGCACTACAGCAAAAGGGATTCTAATTGATCTTTGCAGGCTCGGCTCCAGAAGACAATTTGAAATAGTTAACACAGCTCAAAGCTGTGTTTTTAAAGCCAGGGAAGAGGAACACAACCCGTCACCCCACAGCACAAAGGAAGCAGAGGAGCACAGCTCCACACTCAGGACCGCACCGGCTCCAGCCCCAGCCCAGCAGGGACACCTGAGACCACATCCCACATCCCCCAGCACAGAGGCTCCGCAGCCCCCTGGCACCCAGCAATTGCCCCCTTCCGAATGAAAAGGCTTTTTTCTGACATTCAGATGGAATTTCCCACGTTTCAGCCTGTGCCCGCTGCTTTGGCTCCTGTACCACTTTCATCAGCTCCTGGCACTCTTGCCAACCATTTTTTTTTTGCTGCTACATTTTTATTATTACCTTTTTAATAATCGTGATCAGTCTAAATTCACTTCCTTCCTTCCTCTGTGCACTGTTTCACTCCAACAGCACTGGCACAGCTGCCCAGGGGGTGGTCGAGTCACCACCCCTGGAGGTGTCCAAGCACCATGGAGATGTGGCACTTGGGGACACGGTCAGTGGGCACGGCGGGCCGGGCTGGGGATCTGAGAGCTGTTTTCCAAGCTGTGATTCTATTGTAGGGCACACACAGGCAGTGCGTGCACCCACACCCAGCTCAGCCCAGCACGAAAATGGCAGAAAAACAGAAACAGGGCAGTAGCGAGAAAGCGTGCGGGGTCCATCTCTATTGCACAGGCCAGACACAGACCTTCCACCTTCCTTCCATCAAACGCTGCCCTCTGCCACTCCAGTGAGCACCCAGATGCCGTGCATCACCGCAGTGCCCCACATGCACTCAGCTCCCCATGCAGAAGCCGAGTCGTGGCGGGGCTGGCGGAGCGCGGGCGCCATTCCCATAGCGAGGAAGAGGGAGAGCGGCGAGGGAGGAACGCTGCTTACACTTTCCATGCAAGGTCAAGAGATCTCGCTCGCTGTTTTCTTTTGGCAGCCAAATCAGGCCAAGAACATACAAGAGAAGCGTATCTTAAAGGCCTCAGAGGCTAGTGGAAATTTCCAGAACGTCCTGGACAAGAATGACTTACTGGAAGTAATACATAAATCAAGCAAATGAATAGTTACCAGACAGCAACATAAACAGCTGCCACGGGGATGAAATCAGACCTGCCGTGCCAAGAGGCGTCAGCCGCATCGCTGCTGCACCTTCGGGGGAAGACGGGGAAAACAACCGGAGGAAAAGCGCAGGAAGCGGCCGCCCCGGTGCTGCGCTGTGCATCCCAGTGCTGCCAGGCACTGAGCGCCACGGGGAGCCAGCATGGCCAGCTCAGCTCTGAGCCGCCACGCCAAGCACCAGGCTGCGCTTCTGGGCACAAGAGCCCAGCAGATTCCTTCTCCCCCTCCTTTGCCAACAGCACGCGGTCGGGCAGAGCCCCATCCTGCTGCTACTGCTGGATCTGCCATGGGAACCATCGCTGCTGATACGTGGGAAATGCTTTGGGCGGGAGATGGCAATCAGTGCCGCGGCGGTGAAACACGTGAACTAGAAAACACCGCCACAGCAAAAACAGAGGGAACGAGTCACTGCTGGCCAGGCCACAGCTGTGAATGATTAAAGATAATTAATTTTGCTAAACACACGTACACGCATTTCTGCTGCAACCCCGATAACTGCTTTGACCTTTTGCAAGGAGAGGTGTGCATGCCCCGAGCAGAGGCAGCTTTGCCCCACAGGCCGGGCACCAGCAGCCATGCCATGCAGTGGGCAGCAGCCCAAGGTGGGCATAGCATAGGGTTGTCACACAGCCCTGCCTACTGCAGCGAGCACCAGCCCAGCTGTGAAAAAAATGCACAAAAATAGGCTCTAAAACCTCCTGCTTTGCACCTACAAAGCACACTAAAGGAGAGCAGAACGATGGGGATGGCACTGTAACTCTGCTAACACAACCAGAAATTTTCTCAATCAGCTCCAGCTTCCAGCATGGCCGCCCCTGAGCTCACAGCAGCCTGTGTTGTGCTAACTCAGCTAACAGGCCAGGGAATGACAGGCTTCGCCAGAGCTGCTGCATGCTGTCAGTAAAGCAGCATTCGGAAGTGACATTCCTGGAGCATCCTTAGAAGTCTCCTGGGCACAAGGTCGGGCTTTTCAGCACAGATCCTCCTGAGAAAACACCAGATCAAACTGGTCTTGACCTTTCAGGAACAATAATTCAGCTGGGTTTATCACAAAGGTCCCAGCAATGTGAGCATGTCCCAGAAAAGAAAATTAAAGGTTTCATCAATTCACAGGTCAGAGATTAACATAATAATGGCAAATTTCCCTGGAAATGGTGTCTGCAGAGCAGAGGAGGACACGGGCAGCTCCGGGCACAGACGAAGGAGCACTGACAGTCCCAGCTCAAGTCGTGTTTCAGGGGATGCAGCCCCTGCTCATAGGCAGCACAAAGAGGTGTGGAAGCGAGAAGGGCCCAACTCCACCACTTCAGCAGTGCTTATCCTGGCTCAGGTTTCAGTTGTATAATAATTGATATTTGCATGGGCTGTGTGAGCAGGGCTCTCTTACCACTGCAAGCGTGCCAAACAAGCAGCCTGGTTTCCCTTTTCAGCAAGCAACAGCAAAACATGCAAACAAAATACGGCACAGAACACCTCTGTGTGACCCACAGTGGGTTCTTTTTTTAGTGTACGAGATCTCCACATCAATACTGTGAGAAATATTTGTTAGCTCATCTGATAGAAATGCAAATCTTGATTATTCCTATGTTACTTAAAAAAAAGAGGAAGAAGATGAGGCAATCTCCTCCGAGAGCTGCAGCAGGGCCCTGCCTGGCCTGCTCTGACAGCACTGCTGGCTGCCCCTCGCATCAGCCCACCCAGAGCACCCAACCCCCCCTGCAGGACACCCCTCCTTCTGCTCTCTGCCTCCCTGCAATCATTTGCTGCAGATGCAAAACTTCACCCACACCTCACACCGCCTGCAAGCCCCTCGCCTGGCTGTGCGCTCTGCCAGCTCACCTGCAGGGATCCCAAACCCAGTGCGACGCCGTGGGGCAGGAAGAGAGGAGCAGGACTGGGGCCGGTGTCATCCTCCCTGTCCACAGCCCTGTCCCTCTGGAGCAGCACCTGGCTGTGGAGTCTGGCTGCTCTGCCCCCAGGGACATCCCATGCCACCTCACACAACGGCCCTTCCTCCATCACACACACACCAGGAGCGCCCTGAGCTTGCTGAGGGTGGTCAGCCTCAGCGCTGCTGGAACAGAACAGGCTCTGATCCCCACAGCTTCCTGCCTTTCTCCAAGACCATTTTTTTCCCACTGAACACTGTAAGCTGTTTCTCCTCCTAATATAGCAAGCACCACTACCACTCATTGTCTGTGTTTAGTTTTAGTTCCTTCCTCATTAAAACAGCTTGAAGCCCATTGTATTACCTGCCTCCCCAGCTCCGCATCTCACACTCAAATACCACAGGGTTTCCCTTTAAATGAAAAGCACTCCAGCAGCTATGCGACTCCTTGCACATACTTGGCGGATGGGAGTACCTGGAACTGCCTTTCCCTTGGTTGCAGCCCATAAATGCAGAAGGTTTTGAAACTGAGATCTAAACAAGCCCTTTAGTTTTTAACAGCCTTACTGGGGAGAGTCCATGGAACAGATACAAACACATGTCATCAGAAAGCATCTGGAGTCGTTTTTAAGCACATTTCAAGTACCGTTTATTATTTTTTCTCCGAAATAGATAACTTTGGGTTTTCCCAGATTTTCTTCTGAAAGGCTCAGGTCTGTGGTCCTGCCCAGTCCCTCTGCTCACCCAGCGACCCAGCAGCCTTCAGGTTGGCACAAACACCTTGTGATGCTTTCACTTCCTAAGCACTAATCAAAGGTTTCCATGGCAAACAGCAGGAGCAGGAAGATGGGAAATTACAGGTCAGCTCTATCACTGAAGGCAAAAAAATCATCCAGTTCCTTTGCCCTTGAAAAGTTTCAAGGTAACCTAGAAGTATTAATGAATTAAGTAGCTTTAAGGCAGGAAATACTCGCCAGAATAGTCTCCTATTGCTGCAAAGAAATATCTGTCAGTCCTTTAATCCCAGGCTCGGTCTGAACCCCCGCAAAGATCTTAACCTGGCTCTACCTGCAGCCAACACAGCGCTGCCACACCGCTGCAGGACGGCACTGGGCTGCCCTGCTCTCCCATCTCACTCACACACAGGTTTCCACTTGGTCATCAACCAAATATGACTCAACACCACAAACACAAGGAAACTTTTTTTTATCACTGTTAACTTTCAAAGGAAGTGGAAAATGGAGAGAAAAACATATCAGTCATATACGTACTTTGCCAAGTGGTTCATGAGCAAGTGCAGCATCTGCCTGTTTTTCTCCGGGAGCCGATGAACAAGGCTGTGGATCTCTGACACCCTGGATTCCTGATTCTCCAGTTCTGTGTTGGAAATAAAAGATGATTCATCTCTGCATCAGGGGTTTATTATAGAAAAGGGCACGCGAGCCCAAACAGTAACCCACACAGACATCCCAGGGACCCAAGGCTCCCAACCCCTACCTCTAACCTACACCAGGCACACTGCAGGTATCCTCACAGCAGTTCTCCTCTTTACCAGCTCCATTCAGTTGTTTGAAAAAGTAAGAAACCAATGGGCTGGGACAACGGGCCGAGAGCAGATGCCAGCCACATGAAAAGTCAGCTGTGATCAGGGAACGGGCTGGCAGTAACCGGAGTGTTCCTCTGACTTCAACAATGGGAAGCAGCAGCACGATCCCATCCAACGTGCTTTTGGGCACAGCGTGCGCTCAGCACAACGCCTGGCAAGTGGCAGCCTGCAGTCTTGGGGCTGCCCCAGAGCCCGAGCAGGAGCCATGCGAGCAGCCCCTGCCTCCATCCCTTCCCAGGAGGCCGCTGCCGATGTGACCACCGACGTGAGCCCTCCCCGCAGCACACAGCTCTGACAGCCACCTGCTCCCACACAAAGCATGCTCCCAGGGCAGACAAAGGAAAGGAGCTCAGATGCTGGAACCGCAACTGATAAAATCAGAACGGTGTAGGTGTCGTTCAAACAACAGCCTCGCTCGTTTTGGAGGTTGATGGTCAGAAGAAGAAATACCTGCACCAGCTGCTGCCGTCAGACAGCCCTCCTCTAAACATGACCACGTGCTTTTTGTTTATCCAGAAAGTCCCACACGGCACCCTGCCCCTTGTATCTCAATTCTTGCTCTGGTCTCCAAGATTTAAGATCAGTGGGAGAGCAGCAGGGTAGAGGTTATGCTCAGCTGCTTGCAAGTCCTGTTCCTTTTCTGGCCCCATGCTGTAAACATCAACAAACTCACTTGCTGCTTTGATGAAGCTCCTTTGAAACTGGTACATCATGAGCGGCCCTGGAAGCATTCTGGAAGATAAAAAGGTATCACACACAGCACAAGTGAGTAACACCATCCACAGAACTGCAGAAATAAAGCTCTGCAATCTCCATAAATTCAGCTCTGTTTTTTGAGAGCAGAACGAAGCGGTAACAACTCCAATTGATTCCTCTCATCAGAAGGCGCAAGACTTATTGAAGCACCTTCAGTTTATTCCTCCTCTCTTTTTTTGTACCACACTAAATTCATTTTTAATTTTGACGTTCCTTCAGTACCACAGTAAAACAAAGCTTTTGTACCTCAGTGAGTCCGTGATTTCTGAGTAAGTTTAAAAATAAATTAAAAAGAGAAACGAGCCCAGTCATAAAACTTTAACAGTCACTGTTCCCATTACACTTCCCATTCTCCCTCCCACTTCCACATCCCTTCAGTGGGACATCTTGGTGCTGCTGACATTCCTTGTTGCCTTGCAAACAGTTCAAGCTCTGGAACAAAGGTTGCCAATCATACAAAATTATGCAGTGTTTTGTGATTTTCTAGGCTGAGATCCACCCAGCTAATGACACTCATCGCTCTAATTGGATTTAGCTTCTCTCTTGCTCTCTGTCTCTCAAAAAAAAAAAAAACAACAACCCAACACACAGAAGGACAACACAAAGCAAAAACCTGCAGTCACAACAGGTAGAAGCACGTCGTTGAGAATGAGATACTGACTGCTGCCAAGAAACTAACATTTCTGGAAGATAACGCACATGATAACAGCATCAGCTTTCATATGGAAATTATTACTTACATAAAGCTTAGCACCCAGTTCTGAGAAGGGACTGCAACAACTGCCACGGCCCTGACAGGAGCACTGTGCTCACCTTCTCCACGCACTCCTCAGGCTGAAGCCCACAGTGAAAGGCTCAGAGAAAAGCCTACACCAGAGCAGGGCATGCGAGAAGGAGCCCTGTTGTTACATTCATGCAATACATGCTCTTGTCAGAAAGCTGAGAATATTCCCCCCATCCTACTCAAGCATGCCAGAGGGTCAAGGAAAAAGAATGAATTCTCTAAGGGCAGTTTCTTTGTTTATAAATACTTTTGTTAAATAATAGGCAGTAATGCCTCTGATCACCATGGAACTGGTCCTGAAGCTGCATGACAGACCAGCCTCGCTTCCCTTACCTCAGGTACGTTTTCAGGGCACTGGTGATGGTCTTTATCTCCCATTCTGCGCAGATCTCAGTTTCGGTTTCAGTGGCAGTTTTTGGATCTAAGGAAAAAAGAAAAAAAGTACACAAGTGAACCCAAGTGCAGACAATCCCAGCTCGTACCACTCAGCACCGACAGCGCACAGCCAGCTGCACGGACGCTCATCACGTCCCATTCTCATTGCTCTTCCAAACCCCAGAGACCACAAGCTGTTCCCCAGCAGGCGCTTCTCAGGGAAGCCGACTTCATCACCAGACACAGGACATGCTCACTTGCACGGGACAAAAAAACAGGGTAGAAAAGAAAAACATCAGTCACGAGCAACGATCCTGGCAGCTGGATTCAAAGCATAGCACTAAACAGGGTGCGGGGGAGCGCGGCAGTCGATGACAGCGGTGATGGCAGTGCACAGACACGACCCAGGAGAAGACAACCACAGATCCCTGCAGGACTCAGCAGAAAAATCACAGCTCCGACAGGGCTGAGGCTCCCTGCCCCAGCACTGCAGCCATGCGCAGCACCAGTCGCACAGCAGGTCCTGCACTGGCCACGCTCGGCGACCACACACCATAAACAAAGTGGGTGACACCGCTCCCGACTCTTTGCTAACAATTAGAAACAGGCAGCTTAGAAACCACCAGCACATCGGCACGAACCTGCCTGGCCACGGGCATCTCACACCAGCACTTAAAGGCTCAGAGTACAGACAGCAAAGAGCACAACCCTGCACAGCGGCAGTGAGGGATGCACCGGGCACCGCTGGGCAGGAGGCAGCAGCAGGACACAGCCACGCTCTGACCTCAGTGAAACCACGGGAAACCCCTCCAGACCTCAGGAGAAACAGCAGTAGGACCCTCCGGCAACACAGGACCACATCCTGCCTGCAGGCTGAGCCCCACGGCCAGGCACTGCTGCTGGGTGCAGCTGCCGACACCACGAGGTGCCATAGGCAGCTCTGCAGTACCTTCACCTCACAGACATGCGTGACGTGCTTTTGAATTTTAAAGGAATGGGTAAATATAGTGGAATTTTAAAATGAATGAAAATAACGCACTGAATAGGAGTTACAGAGTTTCCCTCAGTTTAATTTACAGAAAGAGGAACTCCTGAAGCAGTAACCATTGGAGATAGGTACATTCACACCCACATCACGTGCCTCGCATTAATCACAACTGAACGCCATCCTTCCCTCTCGATGCCAAGGCAACTTCCCACTGCATGACCTTCCTAAGGAGGCAATTCTAACAGGTTAAAGATAAGCCCCCACAAGAAAAAGGCAAACAAAAACCTAAAAACAAACCTAAAAACCATCTTTTTAATGGCAAGGCCTTTGGTGGAGCTGAGCCAACAGCTCCCAACCAGACGTCTTTTCGAAAGGTCATCCAGGAGCTGTTAAATATGGTTCATGGAACAGCAGGTGATGTTGGATGGCTGCTCACATGCAAAGACTCTGTGCTGATAAGCAGCTCTCCCTGACCTTCACGCTCACCGGCCTGCACACAGCTATGGCAGTGCATTACAGAGGCAGCATCTGTCTGCCACCTAAATGATGGATGCAGTTTGCTCACAAGGGCAAACTTCCATACGAACCAGAGTAAATGTGAAATAGCGCCCATAAAAGCATCCAGCAAGCTCAGTGCAGTGTTAACTCTGAATTCCCCACTGCTGTCATTACTGCTCTGCTGTCTCTTAGCAGACGCAGAAGGAAGCATTTTGCTCACGCCACGACACTCCAGCATCACTTCCCACTTGTGGTGGGAGCTCGTTCTGCACGGTTACAAATGCCACACAGGATCTTGTCCTGCTCTCTACGGGCTGCAAAGGAATTCATTACTTAAAGCCACGCGTGTGGGTACGTGAAGAAAGAAAAGGAAGCGGCACATCTCCAGATCTAAATCATACAGAAAATAGAACGCGTTGTCTGTTTTTGTCTTTTGTTTTCCAGTAGTGTCTTTGCGCTGCAGGTGACCACACAGGTGCTGGGGGCAGGACATGGGCTGGCAGCAGGAGCCCACGCTGGGCAGACAGTCCCAGCCCAGCAGAGCAGCCCCAGCAGCCTCCTGCTGCCCCTGCCCAAAGTGCATTCTCACGGAACTTCTCCATCTATTTCCTGGGGACGGAGAAAGCTGCTGCCATAAGACAGATGGTTTCAATTCCACACCAATTCCTGCACGATGAGAGGAACTGCCTGGAGCACAAGCTCATCACCCAGCCACAATTCCCACCCACCCTTGGGTGGCTGGAGAGACTTCCAGAACAGCCGTAAGACATTAGGTGACAGCACCTACAACCTGGAGGACGCCTCGCCCCCCAGCCTGTGCAGCAGAGACAAGCCCAGCCCACCCCCTCAGCTCAGAGCTGCTACAGCATCAGCGCCCTCAGCAGTATGCTCTTCCACCAGGGCTCCAAGTGACCGAGCTCTGTTGGCTGGCTTTTGTCCCCATTTCGGCAATATGGGGAAGGCTGAAGAAAGGCAGCTGAGCCTCCCAGAGCTGAGCTGCCCCTACAAGCCTCCACACACGCTGCCCGCTCCACTCCGAGCTCCTACGAGGCCAGGGGCTCTGCCCAAGCCCGGCTGTGTCACCCCTGACCCCAGAGCACTGCAGCACAGCACGGCCACGGCCTCTGCAAAGCAGCCAGGGCCCTCCCAGCAGTGTCACTTACATCAGCCGCCGCACGCTGAAATTCAATCTTTTTGCCATTTAAACTGCGTGTGAATCACTGAAGCTGCCCACATTCATTTCTAAATATAAGGGGAATCTGGAGTCGCAAGCAAAATCTGGCTTTGCTTTTCACGAGGGTTGCATGCAAACACAAACTTTTGAGCCTAGCGGTGCTGCTACCTTCAGGACACCAAACAGGAGGGACAACACGGAACAAAAGAGGCTTTGACAATTCAACACTTTCCTTGCAGACAGTTCAAAGGCCAGCTCCACATAAGGACGGTTTAGCCATTGGTGATTGAGAGAAAGGTGGGGAGATGGGTCTGCAGAGAGCCCTGGTGATGGGGGGCCCTCAGGGGAGGAAGCTGCCAACAGCCAGCAGGCGCTCACTGAGCACACAGCCACCTCCCCTCGGCCTCCCAGTGCCGACAGCTAATGAAGACACACCACAACAAAGAGAAAACACTGACTGCACATCACCACGTTATGAGACACGAGGTCAACAGCTCAGTGGCTTCGGTCACTGAGAAGATAATGGATGCTGGATGGGGTCCAAAACTTCGAATCCCTCCCAGCTCCGAAGAGCTCTTTAAACAAGCAAGTTTTGCCATCTGTCACAGCCTCAGAGCCTCTAATCAGAACTGATGCAACCGTGAGGCCGATGCAATGGAGCTCGGCCATGGGAGAACAGAGCAGGTTCAGTCACCTTGCAGCTCTCGAGATGATGCACACTGCTTCAGAAGCCACAGGCACAGGACCTGGCACGGCAGAGGCTGCCATGCTGCACGGCACCCAGGCCCTGGCCTATTTTTATCAGTGGGCAGCAATGCTCTTCAGCTGATGCTCTAACGCAATGGTGCCAAATGTGTGCACCATGAGACAGAGCTGGCTTATCTGCGTGGCCAGCAGGACGTACTCACATGCTCCAGAGCCTATGCCAAACTTCTACTAATAAAAGAAAAACAGGCAGTCACTCGCTCTTGTGACTGCGGCGAACTTTCCAAATGCCAGAGCATAAGTGATGCAGACGTGTCCCCTTGCGTCAGGAGAGAGCCGAGGGCTGTGATTCAGAGCCTTACCCTTCTGGTTGCTAATAGTCTCTCTGGATTACCAGTTTTGAGGAGGTTAGTGCTGACATCGGCAACAGCCACCAGGGGCTTTGCTCACAGAGCACTTCAGTGGTGGGAAAAGAAGGAATGGGGATGAAAGGAGGGAAGACATTCAGAATGGAACGCAACGGCCTCAAACTTTTTGCAAGGAGAAATGCATAGGGGTTCTGAGGGCTGCTGGGCAGCAGCTCCGTGGCTGCACACCAAGGCCATGCCGTCAGCACCAGGCTCTGCCACGGTGTGACCTGACAGCTCCTCTGCTCCCGAGCACCCACAGCTGTGGGACCCAACGTCTCAGGCATGAGAAAACGCATGCTTGAAAGCTCTGAGCAAAACTATGTTAAAACAGGCACAGGAAGGTCCAAGGAGAAAGTCAGAGCCACAGGCAGCATGCAGCATGCAAGAAAATAATTAAAAAGTATTCTGGGAACACTGCGGGAGCTATGAGATTAAAAACCAAAGCTTTCAGCCCTTTCTTCTAAGATTTTAGTTTGCATTTGGGAAGGATGCCAAAATTTGTAGCGCATGTGAGTAGGACATCAGTGACCACAACAGAAAACTTGTCAGAGCAATGCTCTCCACAAGTCCTACCTCCATAACCTGCCAGTAGTGCCCTGGGACCTCCGGGCCTCTAACAGCATGTGGTCCTAAGGGCACAGTCACCACGATTAGGTACCCAGACAGGAGCCTCCGTTCTTGGTTTAGAAGACTTGGAAGCAGCACAGCCCACTTGCCCATAACAAAATATAAGCTACTCACCCATTAATATACTCAACAGCTTTTGAACTCTAGAGTTTACTCCAACAATTCTGTAGAGTCCTTGCTCATTGATCCCTGGAAAAAATAAAGAGTTTATTAGGAGAATGTCAAAAGAGCTACTAACATTTATTTCATTTCTCTGGGCCCTCCAACAGCAATAATTAAATACTCCCACCGACTGCATACAGAATTATAGGAGAGGGTAAAAATTGGTTTTGATTTCAGGGCTTTCACGTGTTGATTAAAAGTAATGACCCCAATTAGCTCAAGAATCAAAAATCCAAGGCCACCGTGCCGCACAGCACTAGCAGTGAGGGAGTATGGCCACACCATGAAGGATCTGCACACAACGTACACCAGAAAGGCAATTTGAGAAAAATTTCACTGGGCCAAGTTCTTCATGCTTAGGTCTGAGCCTTTTCCACGTTCTGCATGGAGAAGGGCTGAAATGCACGTCTGTTTGTCAGCCATACGAGAGGAAATGCTTTGTTATCACTGCAGGGGGGCGTGCCGTGGCGCAGCCTGTAGCTCTGTGCTGCACCTCCTGGCTCAGCCCCATCCCCGACCCCACTGCCAACCCAGGCCACCCGGCAGCACATCTCAGCACGGTGTGTGTGAGCACATCACGGCGGTTATCTGACGTGGGATTCACAGGGTTAACAAATCATCCGCCTTCATGAGAAGAGCAGGTAAGCAATCGCTGCGCTGTGAGCAGATGCAACGCCGTCCCCCAAACCAGACCATCTGGTGAAGCGCCCTACCTCTCGTTTCAACAGCGTGTATGCATTTCTTGATTATGCTGAAGCCGATATTATCCAACTGGGCAGCTGAAAGGGAAGAGAGGAGAGAAGTGACAAACACCCTGCAGAGGGATGGCTTCTCATCCTGCAGCCATCCACAGCATTCACAGCAATGCTGTCTTCCTGCTCAGACTGGGGGGAAGGAAAATAAGATAAATGAGGTGCTTGCAGAGGAGAGAGACGAGCGCAGCGTTGTACCAGGTGTGGTGTGGTGAGCACACAACCCTCGGTCATCGCTGCAGCCTCAGCACTGCTCTGAGCCTCACCTCCCGCATCTCTGCCCCCCAGCAGCTATGGCTGTGCCAGAGATTTATGGCTACAGCTGGTCAAAACATGAACCAAGGGGAGATATCCCAGCGAGACCTTCGTCTGCAAAGCTGACACTAGGTTGCTTGTGAATAAAAAAGGCGAATCATATATTTTTGACACAATAAATCCTGCAAAAAAACTGCACAGAACAGCCCGCTTCATCTAAGTGCTGGTAATTCCTATAAATCCTTTCCACGTCCACCCAGCTAACCCAGCCCCTGACTGGGTTACCAATACAAGGGTTACCAACCCTCGGCTGCAGAGGGCTGCACCGACACCCGGGAGCGACCCAGACGAAGACATCCAGCATCCGCACCGCGTTTACCTTATTTCTGACATAGATATGACTAGCTGGGTTGTCTCCTACTAATATACTAATATGTTCTCCAGCAAGGAGTTGCACAGCTCTCCCGAATATATGGAATTATCCCAGGGCCATCTTATGCAAGGACTGCACAATGCTGCTAACCTCTCATCCTGAGAGGGAGGGCGCTGGAATGAGGAAAGCCACAGCATTATCTTAAAAGCAGAGGATTTTACTTCTGCACAGGCACGAGGAACTGTCGTGCTGGAAGAGACAACACCGTGCCTTGCCTAGAGGCCAAGAGGAGCAGAGCAGAGCCCAGGGCTGGCAGTGTCCTCACAGCAAGGCACACGTGATTTTATTCCTTTCCTTCTCCCTGCTCAAATCGTTTATTTAAACACAGATTTGCACTTGGTTCACGACAGGCTTCCAGTCCACTGGCTGCCTATGCCTTGCATGGGGCCAGCCCTTGCTAATCACTCCTTTTGAGTTCCCTGCCGGTTTGTTACATGATGAATGGTACAAAAACCTGAAACAGTAAAACAGGTCTATTATATTTTTCTGGGCAAGCACGATGGAGTGCTGAGCCAACGTAAGCACATAGGCTGGAGGATTCCTGTGCTGCAGGATGTACAAACATCCCAAAGCCCCAGGTTGCTCTGCTCAGCACCCAGGGGCTCAGCACAGCTCCCAGCCGCCCTGCAGGCACAGACCCAACAAAGGCAGCACCCACCAGAGGGACGCCGCCTGCAGCACCTGATCACCACAGAACACTGCATGGGGTGCCTGAGGAGCAGGAAACCACAGTGTGGAAGCCCTTCTGTACAGACGGGCCCACCTCAGCAGGGCTTCCTAGCACTCAGTCCTGATCTTTTGGCATCCCTGTACAATGCTGTCCAGCCAACACAGCTCACCATTTTGGACTCGCACGCTCTAAGTGCCAACCATTCCCACGGTGCAGCAGTGTCCCTGAGCCCCTGGGATGCCTGAGGTTGAGCACAAGCACCAGTCCCATTCCCTGCATGCCCCACCACAGGGCCCAGCAAGGGCTGAGCCCACACCTCGCTGTGCTGCTCGGCCATAGCAGAGGGGAGAAACAGGAGCAGTTTTTCAGGGTGGAAATGACTGAGCATAATCCTCCCAAGTAGATGAATAAGCTCTCCAACTCGTTGTTGAGCTCTGGATCAGGAAAGGTCGGGGATTTATTTGCAGTAGTTATATCCAGAAATAATATCTGATTAAATATCCAAAGTGCCTTTATTCATCTTTAAATTTAACTTTTAATGAGCATCATAAAAGCTTGATTTTCCTCTCACAGAAGCAGCCTCCCTTTATCTCATTCATTTACCCAATGATTCCGAACTGCAGCAGCACAGATGAAAGTCAGATTTGTATCCATTGCAGCCCTGGCCCTTTTGCTGGCTCCACTCACTCCAGCAGCAGAATGGTCGGCAGCTTTGGGTTTGGGCTGTTTGATGTCTGCAGGCTGGGAGCGCTGAGAAAGGAAGGAGCTGCAGACCAGTCTGCCTTTGGGGGCTGCACAGAGAGGGAAGGCAGCAGTGAAGAGCAAACCCTCAGACCCACCAGAGAAAAGCACAGCCTATCTGCACTCCTCACAACAGGCATCCCTAATCCCCATCCTATCTATTTAAAACTGCCTCTCCATCACAACTGGCAGCAGACCCGCAGCCTTCTATTAGCAGGTAGCGCTGTACTCTGCCCACAAAGCAAAGCTACACCCTTCCTCCCGTTATTCCCTGTCCATGGAGGCTCCCCAGGGGACAGACGTAAAACACAGCCTCCAGCCCAAGATACACATCACAGGCTCTTCGTTCCAGAGCAACATTTCAAAGCACTGCTGAGATGCAAAGGTGATGCATATCATTTGTACTACCAATGTTGCACACACAAATATTTATCTGCCCTTCGTGTAACATCGTATTCCCAGCCCTACTGAGCCGGTCTCATCCTGTCCTATTTTTGCCTACCAGATTATTTCTATTTAATCCACTAATTCTTCTACTTTATACTGATATGGTATCTCAGAGCATCAGTGAAGGGGCACGAAGACACAGCTGGCTCTGCTGAGCCACATGTAACTCTGCTGGCTCCAGACGTGTACGCATCAGCCAAGGCAATGCAAGGCCAAAGCGAGCTCCCCTGCATTCCCCACCACGCAATTCTGTGTCGTGTAACACAGTGCCATCACAATGACAATCGTTATGAACTTTTTTCAAACACCACTGTGGCTTTAAAAGGGAGAAAGAAACCAAGTGGAGACCAGAGAGAAATGAGTTTTCAGTCTTAGCTGTCTCAAAGCAGCAGAGATGCCAAGCTGTGGGGAACAAGGACCGCCAGGAAAGGCCATGGTTCCATCTTGAACAGGTGGAGAATCAAGTGGATGTGAAAAAAGGAGGTGAAAGCAGAGAGGAGAGGACAGACTCTCCAGCAGGGTCTGCTGGGATAGGAGAAGGGGAAATGATTTCAAACCAAAAGAGGAGAGACTGAGATTGGACATAAGGAAAATATTTTTTACAATAAGGGCAGTGATGCACTGGCACAGGTTGTTCCAGAGAGATGGTGGATGTCCCTTGGAGACATACAAAGCCAGGATGGGCCAGGCTCTGAGCACCTGACTGAGCTATAATGTCTCTGTTCATTGCAGGGGAGTTGGACTAGATGACCTTTAAAGGTCCCTTCCAACTCAAAAGATTCTATGATTATTTCCACAGAGCAGAGCAAGTCCCCTTCATTTGAGAAGCAGCACATCTCAATTCACCCAGCTCTAGCAGTGCACTGATACCCACTCAGCCCCCAGCACTCTGCTTTGCTTCCTCCCAGCTCCCAAAGAAGATTAAGATAAATCACCCCGCAGGCTGATGGCCATCTGGCCACACAGCAGGATGTAAAATCCAAAAGCTCTGTAAAATTAGATAGTGACCAAAAAGCAGACCTCACTATAGAACTCCAGTCTCATTCTCTTTCAGACCAGCATAAGTAAGGCAGGAAGCAGAGTTATATAGGTTTTCAGGGTCAGGCACTGCATCCGGACTCCATTCAATCATTACAGTCATTTCAAGTCCTTATAGGAAGTTCCTGTAACAAGGGCTCCGTGGCACAGAGCCAGCCTCCAAATCAATTTGAAGTGGGGCCGGTGAGGCCAGCAGCTTGCTGCAGACATGGTTCTAATGTGCTAAAGCACAGCCAGGTGTCAGAGCACAGCAGCAGCAGTTTGGTCATAGGCACGTGTGAAATTATTGCCACCGGGCTGGGCAGGAGCAGCCCTAACCCTGGGGTCCCAACTCACCTCAAAGCTGCACTGTGGTTGGGTCCGCAGAGCAGAGACATGGAGATGTTCTCATTTTTCAGATGGACAGTCACCACAGTCAAGATACTGAAAGATGAGCAGCTCTGCCACAGCCCCCTGGGCTGATTAAACCCCAGTATTTGTTTGGTGAAGGCGAGCAGGGAGAAACTTGGCATTCGGTCTTTGTCTGAGCCTCCCAAGCCTTTGCCAAATGCTGAACAGCCTCAGAGCACAGCACGACAGCAGCGTGGGCTGCATTACCACCAGAGCCGTACACACAACTTCCCAGAGCTGCTGGGGGCTGGGAGCTGGCCCAGGGAGGCCGCCTGCAGCCAGATGAGCCGGTGAAACGCTCAAAGCCCCCAGCATACCCCAGGTGCCACCCTGGGCAGGAGAACCTCAGGCAGCCCTTTCCCAAAGAAACCCTAGGTGAGCATTCAGGAGCCTCTACATGGCGCCTGCCGCAAGCCTGGCAGCTGCAATCCTGGATTAGACAACACGAATGACCTTGGGAAAGACATGAGCACATCTGACTCGTGCTCTTCCCATCGCCAAAGCGCTGCTCTGCAGGATGACTGCAGCGCAACTACCAGCCCCACAAGGACTGCCGGCTGACAGCACGTAAGATGGGAAGGCCACAGCCTGACAAGCACTTCTTTCAGAAGCAGGGATTGCTTCACTGCTCCTCCTCCCTCCCCGCCCCCATCCCAAACGTTTCCCTGCTTTTGCATCACCCCTCCATAAAGTTCAGAAAATGGTTTTTTAACACAGCTCCTCGAGCCAAATCGGCACATACTGTCCTGGCACAGCCAGGGGTTGTGTGTAGGGAACAGAGCAGTGACAGTTAATGGCCAGATTAGGACAGAATTGAGCAAGTCCTGTTCTCTGTCCCTAGGAACCATATTTTGATTCTCTGCAAAACAGAACACATTGAAGTGCACTACACAGACTCCACATTCAGTGAGGGCACTCAGTGCCCGTGGCTGTGAAGCCCAGCGATCAACCCCCCGAGCATCACCTGGGCTGCACAAAACCAAAACGACAACATGGAAGACCAACACGGACAGAGAGCAGAAGTGAGGAAGTGAGTGTTCCATGCAAGGGCTGAAAATGGGCGTGAGGAAAATTAATTGCAAATTATACCTATTATGGTGAGAAAAATGCCCTGACTGAGGCAGCGCAAAAACAAACAATTTACTATCGGTGTGGGTCAGGCTCTTGCACGACCAATGACTTTGGGGGAAGGAGAGAAGGGATCAGTTCTGAATGTTGCAATTATGGCAATTCAGATCTACTGGGAAGTGGCTCAATGAAAAGCTTTGAAACAAAGGACCTGAGAGCCAGGACCAGGTACAACTACTTGTCTAGGAGGAGAAACAAGTGCTGTCTTGACTCACGTCTTTGATTGCATGAAGCACAGTTAAAAATAGCCTAGTTTTTTGTTGAATTTTTTGTTTGTTTTTGAAGGGGTGCTGTTGACAATTTCAATCAGGTAAGAACTCCACAGTCTTTACATTTGTGTTCCACTTTCCCCTTGGAAAAAGCAAGCTCATCCTCCAGGCTCTGGTTCTGCCAAGCAAGCTGCTACTGACTGCAGGATGCCACCAGCACCCCTGCTGCAGCAGATGGAGGAGCCCGTTCATTTCTCAAGGGTTTGCTTAAAGAAATACACACATACATATATATATACTTACTGCCTTCGCTTTGATTGTCCTTGTTCGAGTTGTAGACCTGGAAAACACAAGAAGAAAGTCTCATGAAGATGCTGGCTGCAGCTGGGAAGCAGCCTGGCCTCAGCATCCCCCCCCAGCCAGACCCCCAGGCCAGCACAGAGCTGTACCCCTCAGGACAGCACACTGCAGCAGCCAGAGCTGTACCAACAACCAGAATGCTTTCCAAAAAGAACTGTGGACAAATGGCACCGGCTGGGTGGGAATGAAAACTTCATGGGCTTTGAAACACAACAGAGGTGGGCATTCTGCTCTTCTGAAGTCTTCTGTTATAAAGAACATAACCTTAGAGTAAAGCCAATGATTCCCCTTATGTCTTATGGGCACTGCAGTAGCACCTGGGGGGTGCATGCTGGGCAAGGAGCAGGGAATCAGAATCACAGAATCTGGGAGCCATCCTCACTCACGTGTACCTACAAGTGAGTAGATGAGTCAGGCAAAGAGGAAAGAAAACATCATGAATTCACAGAGCAGCTGAACTGCAGCAGGATGAGCCGCCCTCAGCCAGCACTGTGATGGCACCCTATGTGTGAAAGCTGCCCCTCATCCACCTGTCCTGAGCACATTACAGCCAGGCTACTTCAGATAAAAGCAGTGCTTTACTGGACAGAAGCAAACAGGGGAAAATGTCAACGGAGGGCGTTAATCACAGTTTAAGCACAGTTTAAAAGCCCAGCATAATGGAAACTGTGGCTGAGGAGGTCAGCCTTCAAACAGGTTGTGCTTCTCAACCTCAACAGATGAAGATGGTTAAAGAAAAAAACAACAAAAGTCCTTCACCAACCCAGAGCCCAAACTAAAACACACACACAGCACTCCGTCAGCATCACAAGGTGGAGCTGAGCGTGGCAGCATCCACTGTAACAGGAAGAAATGCCTGTGTAGGCTGCTAAACAAAGCCATCGGCGTGCACACCCTTCCTCTCGCAGGGAACAAAGCTGGGAGCCCTCTTCCAAGGGCCTGGTGCTCTGATTTAACCACATGCTGCATCCAGAAATAGCAGGTGGGGAAGGAAAGTTTCCAACAGCACTGTTGATAGCAACGCATAGCACAGCAATGAGCAGAGCATCCGGGAGAGCAGGGTGGCAGTGAGGCCCTGAGCCACCATCATGCAGCTCACGACGTGCCCCAGTCAGGGCTCCCAATTAGTGACATTAACCCCAAGGACGCAGAGATCCACAAGCAGCTCCTGGGTGCTGCAGCCCAGGTGTTTCCCAGGCTCCAAAACCTGCAACATTCCTGCAGCATTCCCAAGGAGCACCTTCCCCAGCTGCCCCCCAGGGATGGGTCTGTGCAGTACAAGGCGAAGTGGGGTTTTTGTTTGCAGAAGAAAGGCCATCATCCCACATCTGGAAGCTGGGGGATGATTCAGCAGCAAAAACAGCCAGAGTCAGCAAGCGAGTTTTCCTCCAGGAACAGCATTTGTATCAAGAAAATAAAATAAGTGAAAAGAGGGAAGGAAGCACACAGCAGGCTTTCCACCCGTGAGGCCGCCTTGTAGCCGTGGCCACGAGGTCAGCTCTCCAGTAAGATGCATTCCTCTCCAGCCTCAGTCTCACCACGAGACTTGCTGAAGGGAGCACAGAGCAGTCCCACCCAGCGGGGGCTTGCAGGGCATGAGACCCCTCCTCAGGTCACCACTCACACTACAAGCCCCCTGCTGCAGCTCACCCACAGGAGCCCAGGCTTACAGCTGAGCACTGCATAGAACAGAAGGGCAAGTCAGGCGTTATGCTCCATCAGCAGGTTGCCATATCCATCCCAGACGAGCTGGACACCAGCACCCTGCTGTGCCCAGGGCTGTGGTCCAAGCCCAGCCACCTCCTGCACAGTGAACACCAGCTCCTGTCCTTGGGATCCCACCAGCTTCAGCGCCTGCTGTCCCGCGCTCTGCCTGCACTGCCCAGCTCTCTGGGGCTGCTCCTGCAGCTCCAAGTGATGGCACACAGCACCACAGCTCCAGGGGGAAATGTGTCTGCCTGCATATTTGTTCTTCCAGTTTGGTTAAGCAAAACCACAAAGAGGTTATTAATCATCAGACTGTTCTTTACAAAAAGGGAAAGGACGGACAAGGAAACATAACACACTTGTGCCATTACTTGCAAAGTATGCACATGCCATAAGGGAAATTTCATCCAGAGTCAACCATGCAACCATAAAACAAGGAGATGCTGTCCTCTTGCACCTATCTTGCTCAGGACAAACCTTTTATCCACGTCAGTGGTAATGCATCAGCACCATTCTACAACATCAAGGTTTTAACTAAGCCCCGATTCTGCAATACCCTCCCCTTCTCCAAAACAAACACTACTTTGTAAAAGAAACCCTTTTGCTGTACCACCGAAAGCCTTCTGAAGAAAGAGATTTTTGGGACGAGAGTTTCCAAGGGGTGGCCAGCAGGTACCAGCTCAGGGCCTTGGCACGGCAAAGTTCACTCAGCCCCAATTGATTCCATAGGCATCAACACTCCACGCTTCCAGAACAGCCTTGGTAATACACAGGGCCTACAGCACAAGATCCTAAGATCCTGCCTCACACATCTCAGCTTCCCAGCGAAACGGTGCCAAATTCTAAAGAGGTTCTTGCTACTCGCCATTCCCAAGTCCGCATCGATTGCTGGCACAAACCAAGTTACAAGCTGTGCATGTTCCACCTGCACCATCCCCTACAATTCCACCACACCCCACCTACTTTGCAGCTGTAGCTAATTTAAAAAAAAAGGCTAAATTGTAGATTTTCTTTATCAAAAATCCTCTAAGATCCAGCATTCATACCCCAAAAATTCTCCTGCAGCCACCAGGTGCAGCCTGATACCAGCCTCTGCTTGCACACAAGGAAATCAACAAGAATCGAGTTCACCAGTTCTTACAACCTGCTCCTACGTCAATGGCACACATGTGAGCTGTTGGCTCTGTGCTCGATCAACTGCCTGCCTGTGGGCTGCTTGGGGTGAAGCTGGATTGTGGGTAAAGAAAAGGAAAAAAGAAGCTAGTTGGGGTTTGGAAGGGGAACTAAGAAAAGGAGGTGTTGAGTAATTTTATGTTTATTTCCTCATTTCAGGTTTCACACTGGTTTGGCTACGAAGTCCACCAAGCTCCACCATAAATTAACTGTGCTCTCACATGGCAATGGCATGTTTGCACACAGCCTTGCAGAAAACAACTGCATTCCATAAACAGAAAATGTTTTTACTTAAAAATCAAAGTGGCCCAAACAAAGCCTTAACCCTTGGAGACTGCACAACGTTCTGCACAGCTCCTGACATCTGTCACCTTTGAGTATCAGTACCAGATTTTGCCCAGATGGCCAAAAACCAGAGCAACAAACCGCCCGCCCCTCTGAGGCGGAGGTTGACAGAAAGCCTCCACTCACAGCAACGCCAGCAGCCCTGCTCTGCCCCCACAGATGGAGGGATCTCCATCTCCAGGGAAGCACGATCCCATCACTCCAACCACCTGGCAGGAAGGTGGTCGGAACGATGGCAGGATCCACGCAGTCCTCGTGCTGGAGCTGCTCCTCCAGCGCATTCAGACCAGCAGGTTCTTCCCCAGCCTCCCCGGAGGAGCGGCGCTTGTAAAGCCAGGAGCAATAGAAGGAAGCGCTGCAGCATTATGCAATTTCCTTGTGATTCATAGTCAGAAATGCTCAAAACAGCCACGAACGAGTTTTTCAACTTTCAGCTCAGAAGACGAAGAAGCCAAAACTTTATAAATAGAAATCATCACATTCCCACATTGGTTGTCCAACTGGCTTGCCAGCCACCTAAGGGCAGGTTGTGAAGATACAGAAAGGCAAAACACACACATTTTTGGAACTTCTTAATAAATTAAAGGGGAAAGTAGGGTCATAAACAGCATACCAGCCAGAGCCCACCCCTCAGGTTCATTCAAAGACCTGGGCCAAGGCCAGGCACTGTGAGGCACTGCAAGGACTGGGTGCTGGGACTCCTGCCCAGCCCTTCGCCCACCTGCCCCGTGGTCCTGCAGGAGACAGAGGGTACAGAACTGCCTGGAAGAGCCTTCTCTCTTACTGCCTTCACTTGAACTCCAACAAAGCCTCAATCGTTTTACCACAGTCCAGATCCCAACATTCTCAACCTCTTCAGAGCACAACAGAAATTGAAATGCATCAGGATCAACCACAGACACTTCTTCCCAATCCCCACAAAGTGTAAAAAGCCTGAGCAGCACTGAACACAGTGGAAAAGGCTTATGAAAATCCCCGGACAAAAACAGGCCCCAGAACAACAGTGCTTGGGAGAAGACCAGAGAAGGCAAACTCCTGCATTCACTCACAGCTGCAGCAGCATGCAGAAAAGCCCTCTGATGAACCACAGCAAACACACTGTAAATGACAAACAGGTTTTCAAGATGTTGGGTAACTCAGAATGATTTCAAGAGAGTAAAGCCTCCGTGAATTATTTAGCACATATTCAGTGTCGAAGGCATTACTTTGTTTTTGCTGTTTTTATTGCCAAATACTCCATTATTTCACAGCAACTCAAGAGAAAAAGAAAGTGATAAAATTGTATCTTCAAGCATAATTTTAGTATAATTGGATGGAACATTTTTCCTGATTGCAAACAGCAGGAGTTAGCTACTCACATCCTCGAACTGCTGTTGGATGAAAGCACTTCCATGGACTTCTGAGCAAGACAGATCTGTGAGTTATCCACCTCTTCTGGCAAGGCATGCCAATGCTGACTTATTTACACATGGCAACTATTGTGCTTCTGTCTTGTCTTCTGTGCAGTTGCACAGGGAGACTGATACAGCTGAAAATTAACGTATCAAGCCAGCTAGCAGTGGTATCATCACCCAGTGATGCAGCCACCAGGTTCACAGTGGGGCCAGACAAATGACTGGTCCTGCACCAGAAGAATAGGCTGAACAGGCAGAGGTGCACAGGGCCCTGCCTCCCCCGCTGCCAACCTGGGACCCCCCCAGAGCCAGCTGCAGCCCCTGGGCTCAGGGAGCGCGGCTCTGAGCCCCGCTGTCATCC